CAGGTTGTTTGGAAATCCACCTTCCACGGGGAACCTGTGGTCCGAGGTGTCTCCTACCCGTGCATTGAGAGCGTCTTTACTGGGCCGCATATACTACACCCCAAACAGGGTTTTGTTAGCGGCATTCTGATAGCGCCATTGGCACCAGGAACTCTGATCGTGTTATCCGAAGTCAACCTCCTACGGTGTATTACAAATGGGTGGCAGCGGTGAGCTAAGTCCTCCACGTTACATCATGTCTAGGGATTCTAACGAAGTCGAATTCATGGTTCAGTAGCCTGGCCGAGACGCGAAATGCAGTATTGTGGATAGAGGTCGAAATGTAGTTCCGGGAATTGCGCAATACCGATCCTTCAAAATAGAACGACTCCGCATGCAATAGCACACGTAACTTATGTGATCTTTACGCACTACGTATTTCACTGGATTGAAAGTATACCATAATTTTATCAAGGTCCGTTTCATACATCGCACAAAGTCAATTGTCATTCATCATGCATGAAAAATTCACGTATTTATTTGTGATGGTCAGTAAGGAGACGTGTTGAAGCGAATTTAATATCCGCTATTCTGTGAATTTTGCTTCCTTAATCGGCCACATGAAAATATACCATTAGCTGAAGCAGAAACATTTCCATTAAGGCCGAAGGAGGTCAGAAAGAAAACCCTAATCTCGTTAATTTGAGCTTTATTAAGAGAGAATCAATTTGATATTCTTTCTCTTGTTTAGATAATATCTCTCATTTGCAGGTGAACTGTTCGTGCAGCCTGGCTGAATTCTGTATTCATAAACTAACTACACAGTAAAAGCTATGGTCAGATTTTTGATACAAAACCTGCATCACAAACATGAAATTTTATCATGAGAATAATAAGGACATACCAGCCATGGAGCGAAAATTTAACAAGGAAATATATCTTTGAGAACAGAGAAGAACGCATAACAATAAAAGACTGAATTCCACAAATATCAGAAGCGTTTGCCATCATGACAGCACACTTTACGGGTTTGTCCAGTACGAAATGTACCAAAAATAATTCCCCCGAGGTATCCCGTAAAAATTTCCACTTGGTAATAGATGTGCCGGAGCATATTATTATGCATATTATTTCAAAGTATAACCGCTTTATACTGATCTGAATTCCAAAAGTGTTGTTTTGGAACCCTTAATACGACCTATCCCCGGAATACGTGTTGTTGTGACGTCTCTGCGAACGGCGATCTGGGATAATTTAACGGAACTCAAATGTTGTATGTAGTATAACCACTAGATATAAACCTTCGTTATTGAAATTGAAACCCTTTTGGTCACACTGAAGAATTAAATCCATGTTAATATCTATTTTCTATCATAAATTTGCTATTGAATAGATATGATGTAATTTTTCCTCGAAATCAACTGAGTTTCATCATTCTTATTTCTGCGAAATTATTTACCCTACTCATGAGTAATATAATCTTCATCACAAACTTCAACCTGGTGGCGAGATGAAGTTACCTGATCCACTCGTCTGAAATCAATTTCGATGTAGCTATTCATTGTTTCTCATAGTACCGGCAATAACTGCACAAGAGAGGCAAGGCAGAAAAATATCCATCAGTTTATTTTAGAATTCGGGTTTAACGTAGAGGATGCTCTCAAATCTAGTTCCGGTCTGAAAGATGGTAGCAAACTGTCCGTCGGAGTATACGACAAAGTATGAGGCACCTGTTCGGCCATATGCGAAGGTAGTGGAGCTAAACGGTGGTTGTGGTTGCTGTGAAATAGTAGGCGTCCATCATTCTCGAAGAATATAATGTATGTATAATTATGTTTTTTACTTCCTTTTTAGGTATTGGATATATAAATGTACAGTCAAATTTCAGGAAGGGGGATGCGGCCATACAAAGGTCTGGCCGAAAAACAGAAAAAGGGATGACGGGCGGTGGTGAAGCGGTCCGAATCCGGGACTTCAGAGTCACAATTTAGTGATCTAACCACTTGGTCNAATGATATTTCAGATGTGCCTCTTCATCTGTAAAGACCAAAACGCGATTGTCCTGGTTCGAGCGAAACCAATAGAAATTGGCAATATCCGCTCAGCAAAATCATTCTATATTCGTTCTGGATAGCGATGATCAAACGGCACAGTAACGAGTATCCCAAAGTTGTCGAGAACTAAGTTGCTAAAAAAATAATCTACGGAACAATTTTGAAAATATTCAACAATACGTGAAGCAGTCATACCTCTATGAGTCTGGATCACTATCCAGCTCAGATGTAATAATTAATCACAGAAAATATCTGTGGTAATAAAATGTAAATAGCAAAATGAGTAACTCGACGGACCTTTAAAATAATTCCAGACCGACAGGAATTTTCTGCATATTTCAATAGATCAAGCAAAACTGATCTTGAACGTTGCATCCAAGACAAGTTCAATATAACCGATAGTACCGTTCAGTCCAAAAAAGAGCATGAAATCAAAAATGAAGAAGCAGCACTCAGTTCAACTTATGCATTCATACGAAGCACTTCAAGCGTCTGCTCAATAAACGCGGTTCCACAGTTATAAAAGGCGAAACATGATGTTCAGAAAATGAATTTCGCTAATATAAAACCCATAACCAGAAAGAATGACAGCAGAACATGCCTTGAGAAATTTAGTGCTGAATAGCTCGAGGATCCTTTTTTCCGCCATCTGCAGGGTTGTAAGACTTATTTGACTGGGCAGTTGTTATGGCTGACTGAGGCCGTAGCCACTCGGCGTCACAAACTATAGATCTGTAAAGAACTACACACTGTGGCTGACGTTGCCTTGCCGTGATAGCACTGGCATCACGTTTCTGATCAATGATCGCCCATTCGTTCTCCCTGGTCAACCAGAGTGTGAATGGTGACGTTTGATGTTCGCATTCATTTTGTCTAGTCGAGTATTTTTGGTGTTTAAAGGTTTGCGATTGTTCTGATCGAACTTTCACATCGGTGTGTGTGTGCACAGCGGAATACAACGAGAAACAGTTCAATTCAACCTATTCTGTGATCAAGCATGTTTTCGCTCCTGTACAATATTTCTTAGTTCGCGTTTGATAAACATGAATAATAGTTTAACTTTGGACATTCTGCCACATTTCAACTCATGTTCCGTCGCACGGTGACAACTTATAAGAATGGGGGGGGGGTTGACGTTCTACCTCACAGTAATCTGTATGCAAATAAGCCAGCTGTGCATATCGCAAACCATACATCGTTCGCTTAAAATGCGGCTAGTTTTCTTTGCTCCACGCCCGAGAATTTCTGAAGTTAAGAAGATTTCGCGAGCCAGAGTACAGTGCCAAATCACGCATCTTTCTATGTGGTCCAAACTCGCTGATGATGTTCTCTACACGAAAAAGGTGCAAAATGAAGTCAGACAAAACTTCATAAGGACCGTCGACGGTCCACCACCCATTTACAGTTTTTCATCTAGAAGGACAAACAAAATCGGCATTGATAAGTAGATTGCTTGCACTAAACTCTCAACTGTTTCGGTGAGAGAGAAGAAGAATACTAGCTAGCTTTAATGACCTATCTGTAGGAGAACGAATTATCTTGAGTAATATGTTTAAGTAGCTCACGATGTGAAATACGTTGAATTGGAAGACAGAATTCGTTTGGTTCTATTGCGTTGGGATCAGGTTGAAGTGTTGGCGCACGGTCATTCCTTCCTTCCTTCCGTCAATCAGTGAGTCAATCAGTCGGTCAGTTAGTGAGTGAGTGAGAGAGTCAGTGTCTTTCTGTCAGTCTGCTTGCTTGTTTGTCCTTCACCACGTCTTTTCTGCTAGCTTCAGACTCAAAAGTAACCAATAGACCCATTCATAGTTCACAATTAAAAACGAACAATGTGTAATGTAGCATTTTATGATCTTTTATAGTTGTATGATCTCCGTGTAAAAAATTCATGCCAGTTTGTTCTAAGACAACTTGATAATAATGAACGTGGACAGTATTATTTACAAACCGTTGCATACGCGTGACACGTGTAATGTAGAGTTTGGTTAGTGTTTTTGGGGGTGGCACGCGGCCGAAAGGATATGCGAAATTAAACACAATCTAACAGGCACTGAACAGTTGAACTGGGGGGGGGGAGTGGTGAGGTGGTGGTGTTTTTATAGTGATATCTTATTGTGATTCTTACTCTACAAATGGTCCCTCAGTTTGACTAATAGTTGAACTCAAAGAAATTAGCCGATCACGGAAGGTGAGATCGACAAAGTAGCTTGATAGATACACTAAATTGAACTGTTCAGCGTTTCAACAGACTGTCTAGGGGAGCCCGGGGGAGCGCAGGGAATAGTAGCCATTGTTTGTTTTCATTCCATATTGTTGGAGGCAAGAAACAAAGCGTACTGTGGGATAGGCGGGGTCGGAGTGAGGTGAAGTGACGAGAACCGTAATGAGGCAGGAAACTGGGTGACGAAAGTTTTTACCATCAGTTTGTTTTCAACAGGCACACAAAAAAAAACACTAACGAAAAAAGATGGATTGAGAGAATCCTGACTGGGAACTATATTGACTGAAAGGATAGGTAACACGCGGTTGATCAGCTATGATCGGAAAAGAGTTGTACTTGCACCGACTGGAGTGCATATCGGTAATCGGATGTCATTCTCACTGTGATACGAAAACAGTACGATATTAGAACAGGACAGTGGAGCACGGCTGTGTGCATTTGTACGAGTGTCTGTGTATGTGTGTGCGTGTGTGCGTGCCACATGTGAGCGATTGACAACGATAAAGAACGGAGACAGTGTGGTGAGCAGTGCAAGTAGAATCACAGATCTCTGAATGATTAGGAATTCCGGAAGTTTTATTTTTTGTTACCCTGGACACCGGGTGTAGGGGTGAAGCCCCGTTTGTCTCCTGTTGCAGAAAAATGAGGTCTAGGCGAGAGTCAGCTCTGGCTCTCGCTCGTTCTCTCCGATCGGTGCCCAACTGTGGG